ACACACCAAAAAAAAAACCACCACACAAAAACCACAAACCACCACCCACCACCTAAACACACAACAACAACCACCAAACCAAAAACCATCACCCACCCACACACTACACCCCACCACAAACCAGTAATCTTGGGCACTAGAGCATGCCCTGAAGAACCATGTCTACACGTTTCTTAAATACCTCCAGGGATGGTGACTCCACCACCTCTTTTGCTGATGCAGAAGGTGCTTGAGCTGTGTGCTGAGCAGAGTAGGCGAAAATAGGAGGAAATTCTGTATATGGAGATAAAAGTGGCAGTGCTTCCCAGGGGGTACTGGCGATGGCTCTATCTGCTGTGCCGCAAGGCTGGAGACAATGCATGGTGCTTCAAAAATGAGAAAAAAAACCTGCATTTATACTACTCTCAATGGATATTTTGTGCACTGTGGCTTTGCAGCAAACTTGGGGACCAACTCCCAGGATGCCCCAACTGGGCAAGCTCAGGACGTTCAGGTTTTGGCCAACAGGTAGACCCCCCGGTGCCAAGCCTGCAGCCGGCATAATTTTTTTTCACCTCCATCTTCAAATCTCCCAAGTCCAAAGTACATTCCTATTTTTAGCTCCACGCACAAGGCAGATCATGTATTGTCCAGCTGCAGCCCCTGTATTAAAAAGCAGCATGTTATTGTCTTGAGCTTTAGGGAGAGGGAGCCGAACTCTGCTGCTTTTTGATTTTCAGAAGGGGAAAAAAAAAAACCCAAAAAAACCCAACAGGTAAATTTGACATTCCAGCATAAGGCCAGTGCCTTGCCCTGCAGTGGTTAACGCCTGCCCGGCTCCCCCCACCCCTGCACACCATCAAAAGCCAGTTAAAGAGAAATCAATTATCTTCACTTAGAGCTTTGCACTCACTGGTGCCACAGGGAAGGGCTTGAAGCAGAACAAATGGCGATATTCCTGTAAACATCAATGGGAAATTATATTTATGGGCTGCTCTTTGCATGCACATTTGTATTTTCGGATTTTATCATCTCATTACCGAGAGTCTGCGAGACTGAACAACTTCGGTGGCAAGACCGAGGAGACAGACGTGTTTGTGAGATTTCTTTTTTTTTTTTTTTTAACTTTTTTTGTGGTGGTGTTTCTGAACTCGTTTCCTGTGATGCTTTTGGCACCTGCTCCCACTGCTGTGGCGCTTTCTGTCACGTCGCCACCAGTTTTACCCGTGGTGTCCCAGGGAGGTGGCAGAAGCTTCGTGTGGCATCTCCATCCTTCACAGATACCCCCACCATCACACTGGGGCATCACCCCGGGGGGAGCACACACAGGCAGCTAACATTGCACTCTATTAATTAAAGCAATGTGGTTCAGGCATCTAAAGACACGGTTAAACCATAATAATAAGTTGGAAAAAAACATTCCTGCGTTGGCTCTCCACCATTCTGCACTTATTTCCTCAACGGACAGGTGTTGCCATTTTTTTTTCTTCTTATTAGCAAGGAGAATTTGTGACTGAAGGAACAGTATGTTATCCAATAATGTATTTGTATGATGTTGAAAGTTTTCCCCACTTTGCACGAAATGAAAAATCTAAATTTGTAATGCACTGATTGAAAGAAGAACAGGATACTTTGGTTTACGGTCTTAAAGGGCAGCTTGGCTAATTAATCTAAAAAAATAAAATAGTTTTGCTATAGAGTGTGGATTTATCAATATTGGCAATTAATTAGTATAAAATGTTTTGTATAGTTATCTTTGCTATAAAGTGTGGATTTATCAATACCGTCAATTAGTGGAAAATATTTCCTGTAGTTATCTTTGCTATAAAGTGCGGATTTATCAATACTATCTATTAGTAGAAAATATTTCCTGTAGTTATCTTTGCTATAAAGTGCGGATTTACCAATACTGTCAATTAATATAATATATTTGGTATAGTTCCTTCTTGGAGTGGGGTGTAAAGTCACGTTTCTATTCCCCCCGAGCATCACCCCAGCACAGGGCTTAATTTTGTTCCTGTGTTGTGCCGCCCATTAATTTGGCTTTTCTTTTCTGTCTGACTGCCGGAGGCTCCAAGAACGCTTAAGGAAGCGGCGGCTGGAGCCATCCCAGGGAAAGGCTGGAGGATGCCAAGAGAAGAGTGTCCCCAGGTGACGCCGGCGGCGAGCGAGGCTGCCGTGCCCACACTCCTCCATCTGTCCCGAGCTCCCCACCGCGCAGCACTTGGGGTGGAAAGAGTCCAAGGACCCGGCTCCCAAGGCAACGCCCAAAACGCTTGTCTAAACCCACAACCGTTTTAGGCAGAAACAAATGGAAAAGTTTGGAGAGCGGAAATGGGGAATAAATCTGAATGAGCAAAGAGCAATCTCCACTGCTGTATTATGGCTACATAGACATCACAGATTATACACTTCCTTAGAATCATATAATGATAGAAGGGTTTGGGTGGGAAGGGACATTAAAGCCCTCCCAGTGCCACCCCCTGCTCTGGGCAGGGACACCTCCCACCACACCAGGTTGCTCCAAGCCCCCTCCAACCTGCCCTTCAACCCCTCCAGGGATGGGGCAGCCACAGCTTCTCGGGGCAACCTGGGCCAGGCTCTCACCACCCTCACACCAAAGAACTTCTTCCCCACAGCTCAGCTCCATCTCCCCTCTTTCAGGGTCAAACCCTTCCCCCTCCTCCTAGGGCTCCCCTCCCTCATCCAGAGTCCCTCCCCAGCTTTCCTGGAGCCCCTTGAGGGACTGGAAGGGGCTTGAAGGTCTCCCCAGAGCCTTCTCTTCTCCAGGCTGAACCCCCTCAAATCTCTCAGCCCATCCTCATAGGAGAGGTGCTAGAGCCCTTGGACCACCTTCATGTCCCTCAAAATGTATATATAATTATTATGTGCACACTGTATATTTTCTTACCTGTATTTTGCCTTACCTCCCATACCCGGATACACGGACAAAGCTCTGCTGAGCCCACGGCGTTTGCACTCACCAGAACATCTCATCCTCACAGCACGCTCCTGCTGTTCCTCAAAGCTCCACCAGCTTGGCAAAGGCCATTCCTGGGTCCAACAGAGATGGGCACTGACACAGAAGCTGCTGCCTGGGGCTGCGTTGGCTTGGGTGAGTGCCAGTGGGCTGGCAAGCAGTCTCAAAGACAAACTGCATGGTTGGTTACCATGTGGGATGTTTACTCGCTTCTCCATCTGACAGGAGGAAAGTGATGGTAGCCTTGGTGCTTTCACTGAGTTGCCTAATGGTCATGGCCATAAGCTGGGCTGAATAGTGAGAAACCTCTCGTGGTGTTGGGGTTATCTCCATCCATGGCTTGGCGATGCCCACAGTCCATGAGTGTTATGAATAGATCTATTAGCTTGGGCAAGGACTCTGTGTGGAGACAATACTTGGGTCAAGAGCTCTGTTCTCTCCAGGGAGATGGACACATCTATTCCTGATGTGGGTGTCTGATGGATGAAACAGTCAGGGAAGTCTCAGCCAGTGGATGAGTCTCAGCGAGGTCGTGTCTATAGTCAAAACATAGATAGCCATGAACTAGGAGAACCCTAATTCCCTGCCTTGCTCATGAAGAAGGGAATGATGAGATACCTGCCCATCCCTGAGTGATGGTGCTAAAGCCCATGGCTCTCCCCCAGCCATGGGTGGGCTGTAGCAGGTGTGATGCCCCCAGGTTTCTTACCTCTCAGGACTCCAACCACGTCCCTGACAGCAGAACTTCGGGGCTCCAACCACATCCCCCACAGCAGAACTCATGGGTGGAGAGTCATCAGGAGCTGCTGGGATAGACCCCCCTGGCTCTTGCTGCCACTTTGGGGCCAGCTCTTTCCACAAACCTGCTCAAACTCCCCCAAAAGCAGCTCACCATGTGCCAGAAGTGAGGAGAAGCAGCTCAGTGGGGTGGGCTGGGGGGGTCAGGCACAGCCCAACATAGCAGCAAGGGCCTCCCAGCCTCCCAAGGACGAGACACAGATGTTTATCTGGGGGAATAATAATTCAAGTGCATTTTTGCAGCAATCAGAGGGTGCTTGGAAGTGGTGTCAGCAGATTTAACGTCACCGGTTAAATAGTACTTATAACCCCACAAAAATCAGGGGTAATAAATAAATAAAAGGATGAGTTCATTCACTCTCTGCCCCTCTCCTCCTTCTTCTTGCTCTTACTCTATTTTTTTCATAAAGTAGAAATGCAAGAAGCTCAACTGTAAATCACCTCAAATCCATGGAATCGGTAATTCCATTATCACACAAGAATGTTGAACTGCCTTCCCCAGCCCCTCCTCCCCCCACCTCAATATTCACTCACAGCTAATATTTAAAAAAAAAATATCTGTGGATGCAGCTGCCTCCGGTGGTGCCCTCATCTGGGGTTCAACCTGCCAGAGAGCAATGGGCTCGAGCACCATTGCCCCCAGCAAGAACAAAGCCCCTGTACCTCAGCTGTTTAAATTCTCCTCCTCGTTTGCCCCAGCACAGGAGGAGAATATATTTCCTTTAGAGCCTTCATACCAGGATGCTTCTCTTTATGGTCCTCACGTCGGGGCTCAGAGCAAGGAGAGCAGATAAGTGGGAAAAACAAAATTTGGTTACGCTCTATTAACCTTCCCTCAGCATCCTCTTGAGGGGAAGGAGTTAAGAAGTCAACTATCGCCACGTATCTTTTGTCATTCTTTTATTATTTTTATTTTCTTCACAGAGAACATATTTTTCCCACCCTGAGGGGTGATACCCAGCCACTAACGGGGCAATTTATAGTAAAAAACCAAAGAGGAAGGTCTGCTCTAATGGGGAAGGATCTTATAGCCCTGATCGACTTCTTTAATTCCTGGGGCTGGATGGGGGAGATAAGGATAAAAATCCCTACTTCTCTGTGCAGAGAGAGCACGAGCTTCTCCCTCCCTCTGCCACAGAGCAAACAGCATCTTGTAAATTAATATAAAGTTCAAAAATTCAGCAGAAGGTGGGCATATCGGGGCTGCACACGCTAAAGGGGAAATCAGAAGCCCTTAAACAGCTTAAAGACATCGCCATTTATTAAAGTACTGAAAAGTGGACCGGAGAAAAGACAAACAGCTTTAAACCGAACAATTTTTGAAAGTTTAATAGAGCTTTAGATAAAACTGAGCTTGCAGTATTAATGAATACAAGAGTTTGTTATTCTGTATAATCCAAATAAACTTGTACATTTATACAGTTATAGACTGCATGCCAGAAAATGCTTTTAGTTTGTTCTAATCTGAATATGTACAATTTACAATATAATTCAAGCATTAATTCAGCAGTAGAGAACACAGACCGGCTGTGCAATCAAACAGTTCACTTCTTCTTAGCATAAGCGTTAGGGCTGGGCTAAAATGTTAATTAGGAGAAAATAAAAAATAAAAAAAAAAGTGGCCACACCAACCACACCAATAAAAAATGAAAGAGTAACCAGAAATAACTTCCTAAAATGAGTCACTAAAGAAAGTTACCATCCGTGCCTGTACTTTCACTCTGGTTAATGACAGACACGTACGCAGATTTTGATTTAAAAAAATAAAATAAAATAAAATAAAGCTTCTCAGATAATCATAACTTAGTATTTTCTATGGCATTAACTTAAATAAAAGTGAGGACACTTTCACATACTTTAGGATGGGTTTATAGAGGCTACTGAGGAGGCTGCAGCCACTCAGGTTGACAATATATTTTACAGCTATGACACTTCTCCCTGTCACCTATTTTAAGTTCAATTTGTAGAACACATCCACACTGCTAATTAGTTCAGTCTCGTACACAGATTCACCCATAGTTTCCCAAAGAAAACCGCCCCTTGGCCCTCCTGAAGCCAGGACCTGGGGTCACCCCATAGGTGGGAAGATGCTGGTGGCCACAGGGCACAGCTGGTGAAATACCATTGCTCCCAGTCTGGGGACACGTCACATCTACTTTTCCATAAAGAAATGTCAACTGGACCATGAGCCACCCCCGCAGCTGGTGGGAGACCTGGGCAAAAATGGGCAGCCACCAGGTGGGACCTTGATGTCCCGGGATGGAGATACCAGCTCAAAGCTGCACTTTTTGGTACCTGAGCCACAAAAATGGGGACACCAGAGCAGTGTCACCGAGTGGGACAATGGGTCAAGCTCCGGCAGCATCTCAGTGGTCCTCCATCCACCATGGATAAACCAAAGGGGGGTTTGAGGAGAGCTGCTGGAGACCCTGTCTTCTAAACCATCTCACCATGCTAATTAATGTTCTTGGGTCTCTGGGTTGGTCTCGGTGGTGGTTTTACTCTTGACACATGGCAATTGCACATGGCTATTTCTGCTGTCAGTCAAGGACTGGTAGAAGAGTGGTACAAAAATCAGCGGTATTTTACAAGGCAACCTGAGGAAGTGTTAGCAAATGCGGGCAAAAGTCCGGGTTTCACCTTGCTGCATCAGCAATCTGCTCACCACGCGTGGAGAGGACAACATCAGCACGCCCTGCCCTTCCACAGCAACGAGCAGAGACTTGCAGTCCAGGCGGAGGTGTAAAAAGCATGCAGTGCCACCCAAACCCCATGATCAACGATGAAAAGAAACTTTGGAAGTCAAGTATAAAGTCCTTGGGGGTACAACCGATGGGTCGCACACTGCAATTCCAGGGAAAGCCCTGAGCCCAGCCGTGTCCGAGCCAACCCTCAGCCAAGCTGAGCTTCCAAGCTCTTACTCCATGCCAACATTTGGAACAAAAACAATTATTTTTCCTCAAAGATCATCAGATCTGTTGTTACCTGTTATGCAGCAAGCATCAGCATCGGTGCAGGATGGTCCAGAGCCTGTGTGTCAGAAGTATCTGGCCACCACTGGAGCCATGGGACACCTCCTGCTCCACGTCTGGCCATGCCCCCTGGCTTTGGTCTCCAGGGTGTCACACAGAGCCCTCTCCTACCTGCTGGTGGTGGTGGGTTTCATACCCACCTCCCCATCCGTGTTGCCCATCGCTCCATCTCACCCAGACCTTCTCCTCCATGAAGAAGCCCCTGGGAAGCAATCATGACTTGAACCCGCAACCCAGACCATGGACCACGGGTGTCCTCAGGCACCACAACAGCTGACCTCCCACATTTTGGGGTGCTCCAGCAGTGAAAACCACAGTGATGGGGACACCCGCACCCCAGCCCTCCCAGCTCAAACCCCTCCCAGGGCGAAACAAGGTGGAAGAGGAAACCCAAACACAAGGGCGGAAGGACATCCAACCAAACATTTATACAAAGTATTACTCATTTTGAAACCCACAGGGTCAACTTCAGTTAAGAACATGTTTAAACATCATTTTCACCACAGAGAAAGCAGTAAGGCGCAAGGCAGCAACGTGCCTGCCCAGGCTTGGGACCATCCCTGGCATCACCACCAGCTGGCAAAACCCAGGGAGAGAAACGTGGGCACTGCGGGACTCAGGGGGAACTAACTCAGCCTTTGGGGTGCAGTTCATCCAGAGTTAACCCCTGCTTGGCTTCGTGGAGACATTCAGCTCTTTTCACGTTTAGTTATTCTGCCAACAGGAGAAATCAAGCTTGTCCTGCTTGCTTAAAATGGGTTTCTTGCACATATATTATAAATCACGAAGATTTTAAAAAAATCTTTACTAATTGTATCTAAATTGTGAGTTTTACTCATTTATTGAGTGCTTTGCCTAGGCTTATTAGTACAAGTTTCTCCTCTAAACAATGCCTTATGAAATACATTTGAACTCTTTTTGGGTAGCCTAGACGCAGGAAAAGAAACCCCAAGAAAACGTTAAAGCAAAATAGAAACCAGCGGTTCATTTAAGGCTAGCAGATTTGGTGTGAGGAATCAACTAATACACCTTTCTTTTAAGAAAAATGCCATGCACCATAACTACTTTGTTGAACAAAACATCACAATCCACATCAGAAAAAAAAAAAAAACCAAACCAAACCATTTTCAAATCAAATTATAACTTACCCTGAAAGTTACCCACTCGCATGTTTTACCTACCACTTACTCTTTAAGAAATACAGGGGAAAGGAACGCCCCTTCCCGTATTTTTTTTTTTTTTTTTTGGAGAATATACAGTATAAATATAATAGGAGTCATGCCGTAAAACTATATGCAAAAATTGCACACTATTATTGCATGCGCGTTGTGATAACTACATGCCAACGAACATCCGCTCGCCCCGTCGTCCCCGGGTTCCTACTTACAGTAGGAACATCCCCTGGGGATGCTCTACAGGGGACCACACAGAGTTCAGGACACCTCGGGCTGGTCAGGGAGCTGGGGGGGTGTCCACTCTCCTGGCCCACCCTGCTCCTCACCAGCAGAAGTTCAAGCTCGACTCGGCAGCTCCAGGCCCCGCCGGGTTATGTGAAACGATCCGAATTCATTTTTCGCAGTTTGGGGGGAAGGTTGCCTTCCATCCGGCCACCACCCCCCGACAGCTTCTGCAGCTTGGGAGGGAGGTCGGCCACCGACTGGCTCATGGGATCCGACATCATCTTGGTGGTCTTAGACACCAGTTTCTCCTCTGAGTTCCCCGGGACCGAGCTGATCCGCTGGAGTTTCATGGGTAAATCTCCCATGCTGTAGGCCTTCTCAGAGGTGGTGGAACTCATCCTGAGGAGTTTTTTGGGGAAGTCTTCCCTCCCGGTTATTTTCTGCAGTTTTGAAGGCAGTTTTGTGCCAACTTCATCCAGCCCATCCAGGCACTCCACTGAGTTGTTCCTTTCCTTGCTGTTGCTCACAGCGGGGGCTATCAAGGGAGAGGACATGAGCAGCATCTCCTCCTGCTCCTTCACGCTGTAGGGTGGGGTGGGCACCTCAAACGTGGCGTGGAACTGGGAGTAATCAACTTTGAAGAACCCCTCTTCCAAGGAGATGACAGGGAAGAACCGATGACCCCAGAGCACCTCATCCTCAGTGTAGGATGTCCTGGCTTGGCACGTCATCCCTGCAACGAGCAAGGGAGAAAAACTCCCACCAGTTATGGACAATGGTGGATGCACATAAATCTTTTGGGGGGGTGGTTGAATTTTTCAGTGACACATATTTGATGTTTTTAAATGCATAAAAGGAAAGGCGTTGGCATGGCTGCCATTTACACACAGCAGCTATTAAACTGTCACCCTGAAGGTGAAAGGAGCCAGAAATAAAGGGAACGTAACTGAATTAATTCACATCTACCACCGTGGCCACTTCTGAAGGTGCTGCTGACAAGGGGAGACACAGGGAATAACTGATTCCCCTATTACAGAGGCATAGAATCATCTAGGTTGGAAAGGACCTTCCTATTATAGAATCATAGAATCATCTGGGTTGGAAGGGACCTTCAAGATCATCTAGTCCAACCATCAACCTAACTCTGACAAAAAAAACCCCATCACTAAACCATGTCCCCCAGCACCATGTCAACCCGTCTTTTGAACACCTCCAGGGATGGTGCCTCAACTCCTTCCCTGGGCAGCCCATTCAAAAGCTTCATAACCCTTTCTGTGTAAAAATTTTTCCTAATCTCCAACCTGAACCTCCCTTGGCACAACCTGAGGGTGGTTCCTCTTGTCCCATGGCCTGTTCCTTGGGAGAAGAGACCGACCCCCCCTGGCTACACCCTCCTTTCAGGGAGTTGGAGAGAGCGAGGAGGTCTCCCCTCAGCCTCCTTTTCTCCAGGCTGAACACCCCCAGCCTCTCCTCATAAGACTTGAGCTCCAGACCCCTCACCAGCTCCGTTTATTAAATTATTATTGAATATTAAATTAGCAAGAGCTGCTAACTGCAATGTAAAGTTGGACTTGTCGAGATCTTAAAGTATGACTAATTTATTCCATATTTTCATTGCATTGATGAATGCCCACAAACCCTCCGCTTTCTGCATCGTACGCACAAACGAAGCCCGTGCCCGTGCGTCCCGACCCACCAGCCAGCAGCAGGTAGATCCTACAAAATACACTGATTCCTCTTTAAGGGCTTCACCAGCAATCTGCTCACCCAGCCTGCGCTGCCAGGCTGAGATCCAAGCTTCAAAAAATTTAAAGGGAAAAAAAAAATATGACTAAGAGGCACAACACCGCCCTTGCCCTTCCTCCACCGCCTCCCTCCTCCCAGACTTGGCCATCCCAGTGACCCATCCAGCCTCAGGAACCAGAGGGAAACCATGCCTGCGGATCTCTGGAGGCTTCTAGAAGAAATCCTGCTGCTCCTTGCTTTTTACCTTTTTTTTTTTTTTTTTTTTTAAATGGTATCTGTAGCAATCTGTAAATAGAATTACCCTGCCATTTTATCCTAGTACAGCAAACTGGAAATATGACATTTGGTTTTCAGGAAGCTAAATCTACCTCTGCAAACACATCCTCTGCTTAGCTGGCAGGAATGCCTCTCAGTCAGGAGAAAATCAAAGGCAACTTTGGAAGGCACAAGAAAAACGACAGCGGGGCTGGAGCGAGGGGGAGCCGGGGACGGATACGCGCCTGGTGACAGCCAGAAAAATAACATTTTATTACACTTTATGCTACTGCTAATGGAACTAAAGCGTTAGTTGTGCATCGTGATTTCCACTGCTAATACGCCCGAGCGTAACACAAGACATAAAACTCAGTTTTCTGTTTTATCTCTTCAGAGAAAAACAGGACCCCGGTGGTTTTTTGCGCTCACCTGAGCCCACACCCCTCCTGGAGCATCCCCCAAAACCCAGCACTCCTCCCCCCTTCCCACACACCCAGCCAGGACACCATTTTACACTTTATATGGTGTATTTTCACCCCGGTCACCGGTGTGTTTTCTGTTTACTACGTGAAGTGGAAGCAATCACATATCTAACGGGCATAGAAAAAAAAACCCAAACCTGCCATTTTTAGAAAAATGGTAATTGGGGTGAGCACTTCTTCCATCTGTGTCCTTTGCTCTGCAGCTGCTTGTTAGCTGCACCTTCCCCCTGAAAGCCCAGACCTTTCCCCCTCTGCTTCTTCAGACCTGACTTCCGAGGGAGACCTCATTAGCTAACGAACGTGTCTCATCCCGCATGCAAATGGTGGGAGCCGCCCTTGGAAGGGGCTCAGCGGTGCCTGTGAAAGCAGATGGCTGCTTAACTCCCCTGACCCACGCTTTAGAAAACAAATTGCTTAAAATGCAATTCTCCCCGTATAGGGAAGGTGATAATCGTGGCCCTGGCTGTGTCTCAGGCTTTGCTGAGGGTTGGGGGGAGCTGTCCCCCACCTTGGGGACACTGCCAGGGTGGCCACCCCGGCCACAGCAACACTGCTCTGCAGGGAGCTGACTGCTGGGTGGGAATCCCCCCCTCCCAGGCTTTTTCTTTGCCTTGCTAACACTAAAAAAACTAAAAAAAAAAAAAAAAAAAGTATTAAGCCTTATTGTCAAAGGTTTGCTATCAAAATGCCATGGGGGGTGCAACAAAGGGCAGTGGGGGAAACACATGGGTCAGCGACACTGCCAGGGCTCAGGGAAGGGGACCACTTGGCACCTGCATCCATATCTGTATCCCCATCCTCTTCCCCATCCCCATCCACACCCCAATCCCCATCCCAACTGCATCCCCATCCCATCCACATCTACATCTGCATCCACATCTACTTCCCCATCCCCTCTGTAGCCACATGCCCTTCCCCATCCCCTCCCATCCCATCCACATCCCCATCCCAGTCCGTCTGCACCCCCACCCCATCTGCATCCCCATCCCATCTGCATCCCCATCCCATCTGCATGACATCCCCATCCCATCCCATCCACATCTGCACCCACATCCACATCCACTTCTCCATCCCCTCTGTATGTCATCCCCATCCCATCTCATCTCCATCCCCATTTGCATCCCAATCCTATCTGCATCCCATCTCCATCCCCATTTGCATCCCCATCCCATCTGCATCCCTGTCCACATCCCATCCCATCTCCATCCCCATCTGTATCCTCATCCCCATCCCACCCCATCTCACTCCCATCTCACCCCCATCCCTACCCCATCCCCTTCCCATCCTATCCCCATTCACACCCCCATCCCCATCCATGTCCACCTCCATCTCCATCCCATCCGTACCCCCATCCCATCCCCATCCCCAAGAGATCCCCTGGCTGGTGCTGCTCTCCCCAGGCAATGTCGGGGCACAGGACCTGCCACCCGCTGGGTTGGGCTGCCCCATCCCTGCCAGCTGCTGTTTCTATCTCCCAACCTCTCATCCTGCCTCTCCCAAACCAGTAGGCTTTCACAGGAGGAATTTTATACCTGATTCCTAACAAAAAAATGATCTGAATCTCAGGAAAACCAGCTTCATGTTTTGTTCCATTGATGGAACCCCTTGTAAGCTCACTGGAGAGAGAAAAATATTTGCAGGTATATAATTTTTCTTTCAAAATCAATTTATCCTATTCACTAACAAACGCAAGGGTGCAAATTATTTAACAGCCTCTCAGGATGAAGAGCTCGTCATTACAGGGAATACCTGTCACACAAAGCAGACGATGCTGAGAGGTGCTAACCTGCTCTGAGAAGCCCTTGGACAAGAAATCAATTTTCCCATTTTCCTCCAATTCCGTTGTGTTTCCCGGCCTGCCCTTCCCTTTCTGTTTTCTCAGGAAAGCCTCAGACTCCCAGCTCTAAGTTCTGCAGTGGGTTTCTGCTGTGACGGGCTTCAAGTAGCCAGTGCCCACCAGCCCTGGCTGTAACCATCACCTTTGTGTTGGTTTTGGGTGAGTTAAAGCTGGCAGTGGGGCTGGGGAGAGGAATGGTCCTTGGGGGTTCCATCCCACATGGTGTCGGTGTCTGCATCCCCATCCCACACCAGGAACGCCTCATCCCGCTCCAAGGAGCCCAAAACCATTCCACCTCTTCCCACCACAAGGACAGGACCATCCCCAGCCCAGGCAGGTTCCCACACCATCTTCATGATGGGAAAACACATCGTCCACAGCCCAGCTCTCCCCTTACCTGCACCATCCCCTGCCCGGGCAGGAAAGCACCACACCAAAAATCAACCGGTATTTCCATGATTTCCCATTAAAAAAAAGCAGGAGGAGCAGCTGGGTGCTCCTGACAGCCCTTCTTGATAACCGCCTGGGGACTATTTTCCATTAATTTATGGCCAGATAAATATAGGCCTCTTACTTTAATGCAGAAGTAGTTTCGTGATGACCTTTAAAACCTAAGATGCACAAAGCAGGAGGAGGCCGGCAGCCGTGCAGGGCCCAACGGCCTCTAACACATCAGACTAACAAGTTTTCCTCTCCTTCTCTTGGTATGAAAGGCTTTTTTTGTGCTTTTTTTGGGGTGCTTTTTCTCTTTTCCCTAAGAACTTACTCATCAGTAGAGTAGGCAGCCAGCAGATCCTTCTGTGCCTTCATCATGTTAATGGGCCCGTTAAAATTTTACCAAGTTGTCTATTTTATTAATATTCACTCGCCATATAAATTTTAAACTCTGGTTTGGAAGCAAACATGCTGTTCTGCCGTGCATACAATTAAAAAGCCACCCATTTGCCAGAGTTAAAGGTTTTGGTAGGCTTTTCTTATCACTCCTAAAGAAGGCTTCCACCACGAGGTGGGCATGTTTAGTTTGGAGAAGAGGAGGCTGAGGGGAGATCTCATTGCCCTCTACAACTACCTGAAAGGAGGGTGTAGAGAGGTGGGGGTTGGCCTCTTCTCCCAAGGGAATAATGACAGGACCAGAGGAAATGGTCTGAAGTTGGGTCAGGGGAGGTTTAGATTAGATATTGGGAAGAATGACTTTCCTGAGAGGGTGGTCAGACACTGGAACAGCCTGCCCAGGGAGGTGGTGGAGTCACCATCCCTGGAGGGATTTAAGAAGCACGTAGGATCACAGAATCATAGAACGGTTAGAGTTGGAAGGGACCTTAAAGATCGTCAAGTTCCAACCCCCCTGCCCTGGGCAGGGACACCTCCCACCACACCAGGTTGCTCCAAGCCCCATCCAGCCTGATCTTAA